TCCTGGCCTTACTACTAGGAACAAGAAGCTACTAGGGGCTCCTGGCCATACTACTAGGAACAAGAAGCTACTAGGCTCCTGGCCTTACTACTAGGAACAAGAAGCTAGGGGCTCCTGGCCTTGCTACTAGGAACAAGAAGCTACTAGGGGCTCCTGGCCGTACTAGTAGGAACAAGAAGCTACCAGGGGCTCCTGGCCTTACTACTAGGAACAAGAAACTACTAGGGGCTCCTGTCCTTACTGCTAGGAACAAGAAGCTACTAGGGGCTCCTGGCCTTACTACTAGGAACAAGAAACTACTAGGGGCTCCTGGCACTACCAGGAACAAGAAGCTACTAGGGGCTCCTGGCCTTACTACTAGGAAGAAGAAGCTACTAGGGGCTCCTGGCCTTACTACTAGGAACAAGAAACTACTAGGCTGGCCTTACTACTAGGAACAAGAAGCTACTAGGGGCTCCTGGCCTTACTGCCTTACTACTAGGAACAAGAAGCTACTAGGGGCTCCTGGCCATACTACTACGAACAAAAAGCTACTAGGCTCCTGGCCATACTACTAGGAACAAGAAGCTACTAGGGGCTCCTGGCCTTGCTGCTAGGAACAAGAAGCTACTAGGGGCTCCTGGCCTTACTACTAGGAACAAGAAGCTACTAGGGGCTCCTGGCAACCACAAAATTGTTCATCCGTCACCCAAGTCTTCACCGCTGTGAAGTGACGGTCCACCGCGCTCTTCACCTCGTGCGTCCATGTTTTGGAGCAAACCGATTGAGAACAATTTCAGTTCGATCATGACTTTACTTGATCAACTTCAATATTTGTTTTTGGATATTGAACACGACTTGAATCATTCTTTTCAATACTACTCTATATATACTTCGAATGATCCCCACCCTGAAAGGCAAGTTGGAAGAAGGCACGGCATGTATTGACTACCCTCACAAAGGCTGCCTGACATGTGCACTCACACAATGTTCTGACATTTGTTTTGGCATCAGATCTGGCACGTGTTCAGAAGTGTGTTTGTGACATTGGGTCCGACTTCTGTTTGGATATGCGTTCTGACATTAGTTCTGTCATGCGTTCTGGCGCTTGTTCTGCTATCGCGTTTGCTATTTGTTCCACCTATTCTGACATTTGTTCTGCAATTATTGTGAAAGCCAGCCAATAGTCTAGGCTGGAGTTAGTTCCTGCGAACGAAATTAGGTTAGATATTTCTAGGGGATGTGGGGGGCAAACGTCGTTGGTGAGAATGCAAGTCTGAAAGTAACGGCATCATTTGCATCAGCAAGGTGTTTGTGTAAGTAAGATGGCTATCAGAGCCGCACTGCTTGTTGCTGCTTGTGTTGCTGGTTTGCTGCTGGTCTGCTGCTGTTTCTGCTGCTGCTGGCTTGCTGCTACTGTTTCTGCTGCTGGGCTGCCGCCGCTGTTTCTGCTGCTGGTGCGCGGCTGGGCTGCTGGTGTGCTATAGTCTGCTTGTATGCTGGAAGCATGCTTACGGGTCGCTTCGCTTGTACACTTTGGCCGCACTGTGTTCATACACAGCCTCTTGGTAATTGTACTTGTGAATCAACTGCTTCTTGCCCCTTACCTTACAACTAGGACCTGCATTGTCCTGTTTCTGTTGGCTTTCGTTCTTCCTTTCGAAGGGTGTCCGACAAGTGTTCCGACATTTTTGTTCTGAGATGTGTTTCGGCACGCATTCTGACATTTGCTGTGACATTTGTGCTGGCACTGTATATGGCATGTCTTTTATGCTGTTCGGGCAAAAAACCCACCGGTTCGCGCCGTGTTCTGCCCGTGTCCCCGTGTCCTGCCGTCAAGTCTGCAATGTGTTCTGACATATCTTCTCGGAACGGAGGAAGGCGGCCAGGCGGAGCGCTGACTTTAAAATCTAGAGACACTCAGCACCCGATGGGTCGAAAAATGGTTTGAAAACATCCACTGCCCATCTAAAGCCTCCGACAGTGTAGCTGACAATCTGCTGACAAATTCGTGCCTGACTGCGCATCGGAGAGGACCCGAGGGAGACATCCAATATCTTCCAGGCAACGTTTGAGGTTGCCGCGTGTTGTGTTGAAGGCAAACTTTGTCAGATGGATTCCCTGAAGCCAGGTCCTTGAAATTGAAAAGGGAAGGTGACGAGTTGTTGGCCTCTGGGCCGGTCTGGTTTGTTCGCATTTCGGTCTCTTTTGAGCAATTGCCACTCGCTTGTCCGGCCAAATGGACGGACCACCCCGACGAAAGAGGTCCCATCCGCGTGGGGGCGAGACCTGCGCTGCAGGCTGCAATGGATGGGAACTTGTTCTTCCTACAGTTGTACACCCAGGCCGATGGCACCTTCTGCCGGAAGTAAGTCCCTGGACCTAATCCTTGTAATTCCAATTAGAGACGAGAAATTTTGGTGGCATAATGATGAGCCCCGTTTTGACAGCATGTGGCCACAGTTCATGGGCAGGTGAACGGAGACCTGGACTGTACAGATCACAGAGAGTGCAGCGTCATCATCTCAGACAACGCGTTCATTTTTGAACATCAAACATTCGTTGAGCTCTCATGTCACCGTGAAACACATGTTTTCCAATCTTGAACAGCCTCAAGATATAAGTTACAGTATTCTTGTTTGTTTGCTTGAAGATGCATTTGCTCCGCGCTGATCAGCAGCAAGGAGGATGAAGGGAGTGTTTAACAAATCGAACTCGCCACAACCAAAAGCAAATCGTGAAGCAACGTCCCACCTAAAGGCGGAACCAAACAAGGTAAAAAGCGAAGCAACAGCAAAGCAATGCGGGCTTTTGCGCTGAATGCGGACATCGATGCCTGCGGTACAAATCCTGATACACTTCAAGCGAAACAGACCAATGCACTGCAAAATTCAGTACACTTTTCACATCCCAAAGAGGGATTGTTGGTCTTGTTTCGCTCTGGCTGCTCTTCTTTCACGCTGCCCTTTTCTAATTTGTGACCTACGCTGCTCTTCTTGAACATCTTCATGGGTAGATGTCAAACACATCAAACCATCTCGTTTCAGCTGACGAAGCAAAATGTCTTTCATGTTCTTCGTGAGACTGTCTGCCAGCTGTTTGAAGGTCGGAACCCACCTAAGAGACATCAACTTCTCCTCGATCATCCTTTTGGACATAAGAAGGTCCAGCGCCGTCTGGCGCTCCTGGGCCATATGGCCTGTGGTGTGGCAGTGGTCGTAAAGTGCACGAGCGTCCGTCACTAGGATGCCGGGCACTCGAAGGGTGTCCCTCCAAGAACCATCTGTCTTCACCTTTCCGAAGCGAAGTGCATCGTACAGCAGGCGATTGTAGAGCTGATGATCAGCTCCTCTTGTAAGTGCACAGCTTTCTGCTGCCATGCTGCTGCGAACAACTCTGGAAATCTTATTCGAATGAAACTCCAGAATGTTGGACATGCGCTTCTCTGATATTGCCTGGGTATCCGTCAACAAGTGAATTTCACCAGACTGGGCGACTCCATCTTTCTTACCCAAAGCAGCATCGAAGTAGGTGACAAAAAGTGGTTCACCATGTAGAGCCCTGTACGTCAACTGAGCTTCGCCATTCCGTGCTGACGTGTGCAGGTCCTGAAGCAAGGTGTTTGCCTCCTTGACATGTTCATGTGTGGCGACACTCACCGCCTGAGCTAAAGAACTTGCACGGAACATAAACTCAGGAAGAACGTGTTGTATGGGCCATCTCATGCGCATGACCAGCTGTCGGTAGCTGGTGAGGCTCTTGCCGATCAACTTGCCCTTGGGAATCTCCGACATGTCCACAGGGGTAATCTTCAAGACATATTCCTTCATGTCATCAATGATCTCATTCTTCTGTGAATCATATCGGACCTTCATCCCAAGGTAGTCTATTCCTTTCATGTTGAGACTCTCCCAGCCCTTAATGTTGAAGTTTTGGTCGATTCTGCTCTTAAGGGCGGCAAATTGTGGTTTCTGTGGATCTCCTACTAAGAACCCATCATCGACGTGCAAACCACAAAAAGCAAAAACTCCTGAATCGTCTTGTGCCACGAACGTACTTCGGCAAAAGGGAATCTCTTCCATGCCGACTTGTTGCAACAACTCAACTGCCCGAAGATACCATAGCCTTGGTGCTTCAGCCAGGCCATACGCACTTTTCACAACCCTCATGAGTTCGAAGGGTCCTACTGCACTGGTGGTCTTGGTGGCCGGAAGACCTTGTGCTGGTGCCCGGACGTACACCTCTCTGTCAGTGTTTTTGCCACTCAGAAAGGCAGTAGCTACATCGAAGGTGTAGCATGTCCACTGCAAAGTCACGGCCAAACTCTTCATCATCCGAATTGCTGTTGGTGTGGTGGTGGGGCTATCTGTCCTGTATTCTCCGATGGCAGGGTCAGTATGCCCCGGTACCACCAACCTACTCTTGGGTTGAAGGTGAGATGAGTCTTTGGCTTTATTGACACGAACCATTCGCAGTGGGGTTCTAAAGATCTGACTCGAGGGGATTCGGGAAGCTTCTGTGGGCGTGAGTCTCTTGATCACCCCATTGTCGATCCACGCTTCCCATTCCCGAAGATCGGAGTCCTTGAATGCTTCGGCTTCTTCTTCATTGAACCACTTCGGGTCCAGTTCTTTACCTGAAGCTTTCATCTTTAGCAAAAGAACTTCTCGATACTTCTGCCATTGGTGCTCTCTTTCTAAAAGCTCCTGCCAGGCATTTGCTTCGTCAGCGTCTTTCAACTCCTTTTGGAAAACATCCTTGCCTACCTGAATGTAGGCACACTGGGGAGGTTCTGGCGTCTTTTCAACTTCATTGACAAAGAGTGTCATTCCACGCCATGAGGCTGAGCACTTCTTCCTCTTCGCTTCATTCTTCTTTTCATCCAAAAGGAGTGCCTGGCCAGGTTCCTCCAAGAGCATGAGTGTCACTCTGCGTTTGTTCTTCTTCTGTGGATGGGCCTGCAGCTTCTTTCTTGGCGCTCTATGGAGTCTTGCGGCTGACACTGGTAGATCCAAAAGTCTTCGGATCTGCTTCAATTCATTCCTTGGGAGCCACTGATTCTTGAGCTGCTTCTCGTCTCCTTTCTTCATAATTCTTTGCTTCAATCTTCCAGTGAGGTCTTGATCACTCACCATCACTTGTAGCTGCTGGAACATTGTCCTCGGCAACTTCATACTTGGTTCTTCTTCGCCTTCTTCAGCCTTCTTTCTCTTTAGGCTCATTGGGACATCATCCAAAAGTTTCTTCCTTCGTTCTTTCTGTTCTTGAATCCTCTTCTCATCCTCCTTGGCATAGGCTTCCTCTTGGGCCGAAATCTCTTCCCAAAATCGCCGACTCTCCTCCTCTTCATTTTCTTCTTCCTTGCCTTCGGGGATCGAAGGTTCATATCCTGCTTCTTCCATCTCCTTCCTCTGCCTCTCCAAGTCTTCAAACCTCTGCTCATATTCCTTTTCTTCCGCAGCGGCTTGCCTTTTTATCTCTTCATCTTTCCTGGATGGCCTTTCCTTCTTCCTTCTTTTGGAAACTTCTTTTCCGAACTTGCTTTGAACCAATCTTCTCACACCTCGCAAGCCCTTCATCATTTCCACTGCTTGCCTGCGACTTCTTCCATGTCTTTTGCCGAACTTGATGCTGTCTTCTTGGGCCTCCCAGGTCTTATCTTGTTCCACCTCCTTCTCGGGCTGTCGGATCTCAGTGAGGTCCTCATAAGTCTTTTCTTGTCCATCATTGAGTTCTAACTCTTCCACACCGGCTCTGGCGTTCTCTTCCAACGTGGCTCCCCTCATGTTGGCAGCTGCTAACAAGAGGCACCTTGATCGCCAGGAGCAAAAGTATTTCTCATGGCTTTCCTTCACGATGACGACTGCCGGACCACGCCACTCACCATGATCATGCCGGTAACGACCTTTTCTGGCCCTTGGCACCCAGAAAAAAATCTTTTCTCCTGGAAGGAATTCTTTAATTTGACCTCCTGGTTTCCTCACAAGTGCATTCTTCAGTTTCTGTTGGGCATCTTGGTGTAACAATGCCCTCTTCGCAATGGACCTCATCTCAGCCTGCCGGGCCACTTCCGTCTCCATGCTCAGAGCTTGCCCCAACGTAGTGGAGGTAATGGCTTCATCTTCAAGAAGGTCGGGCAGGCAGCTTTGACGGCCAAAAACAAGAGCATTGGCACTGAAGCCTCGCCTTGTGATCACTTGATTCTTGCCTTGCAGGGCGCACATGAGAGTAATCTTCATGCCTGAACGATCTTTGACTTGATGTTCATGGATCAAGGCGCCCCAGGCTATGCCTAACAAAGCACCATGTCTCTCGGTGTGTCCAAGTTGCCAAGCTGCGTGAGATCCTGTGAACTTGGTCCCAATGGCATAGTGCTCCAAAAACAAAATGAACTCAGCCTCCCATTCTCCTCCTTGGTCCAAGGAGATCCATGTCGGTGCTCCGAACATTGCCACCCACTTGGTAAGGAATTTTTGGGCCACATGTTCAGGATTTCTGTTTTTGAGAAGCACCCCCTGATGAAAGTTCGTGGCCAAATCAACCATGCTTAGGGCCACATATCGTTGCCCACTGCAATCATTTGTGAACTTCAGGTCGATCCCAATGCTTTCATTGAACACCCATGGACGGGCGTCTCCTCTCTGATTCATCGGGCGTCTTGGAATTGGCCCTGAGCCACAAGTATCGCACTGTAGGCGATGAGCAGCATCTTGCAACCATTTCTCGGCTCCTGCTAGCCTCAGCATTCTTGCTAGAACTTCATTCGATGGGTGACCCAGGCGTCGGTGGAGGAGATCTAGTTGTCGGTTTCTTTGTATGATTGGAGCTTCTTCCTTTCCTTCTGCTTCATCTTCACTTTCTTGTTCTACATCCTCAAGGGTCTCAAACCTCTCTTCTGGCACTTCTTCCTTGCTCACAAAACTTTCTTGAACACGCCCTTTCTTCAAATATTCTTCTGCGCCTTTCAACACCTGGGAGGCGAACGCCTTCGTGTAGCCTCCAGCAAACTCAGACAAAGCTTTCCAATGTCCGTTGATCTTGACTCCTCCCAAAACAGGTGTATGCAGGTGTTGATGGCCGGTGCAAAGCCGGCTGCAGTGCTTCAAAATCTCAGGCGTGCCTCTCAACCTGGTTCTCTTCTTCAAATACATGGGCTCCTCCTCCGGAAATTCTTCATTTGGTTTCCTCAAGTTGTACTGACACATGTCAGTGGTAGTATCGCCCATGCCTTCAAAAGCTTCTTGTATATCTGGCTCCAACCAGGCTTTTGAGGGTTTTGGATTTTCCCCCAACACAGCTCCTCCTCTAGCTCTCTGGGCCTTCACAGCTTTCTTCACGAAGTGTAGAAGGACTCTTGCCTTCTGTCGTCTTTCGCCCAGGTTCTTCAACTGTTGTGCACTCTTCTTTCCAAAATCTTGTAGTGGAGACCATTCACAACAAGGCCAAGCGATGACCAGAAGATCTGGATCCACGTGCTCCATGTACTTGAGGGCTTCATTCTGATGCTCCATGTCAT